TATATATATATATATATATATATATATATATATATATATATATATTTATATATATATATATATATATATATATATATATATATATATATATATATATATATATATATATATATATATATATATATATATATATATATATATATATATATATATATATATATATATATATATATATATATATATATATATATATATATATATATATATATATATATATATATATATATATATATATATATATATATATATATATATATATATATATATATATATATATATATATATATATATATATATATATATATATATATACATATATATACATATATATATACCTTAATGTTAGATTTAACTTAACACAATAATGAAATACATACAACAGTTTAATAATATCTGATTATATTTTAATTACACAGCAGAAGCTTTACACTAGAATTCAGCATATCACATTTACATGTTTTTAGAAACAAGAACAGTTCATAGAGAGAATACTGATATACTGGGTTAGAAACTACCAAGGAACATATAGAAAATAGGCTTTGTGATCAAAAGGCAAATCTACAAAATCTGATTTCCCTGTCTGATGGCATAAACTCTGTTTCTGAAAAAAGGCTCTGTGAAAAAGGCTAGGTAAAAGTTTGCTTTATGAAAGTTTAACTTCATTATGTTGATCCTGAAAAGCAAAAGCTTTCAGATGTTGTCGTTCTTCTCAAGTTTTCCATAGGACATGTTCATAGTGTTAAGTTGTTTAAGTTCCAGCAAAACTCAATCTCTGTTCAGAAAAACCTCAACCCAGATGAAACCAGTGTTAATTTAATAATACAAATTGTACAGTTAAACTACAAGTAACATTTGTTCCTCTCCACATTCCTCGCAACATCTGGTGAGTGGAGAATTCCCGAAACAGCAGGGCGTAATGGAGGGCGTACTGTATTCACGGGTTACATCACTCTCTGGATGAAGCCGACGTCCGTGTGAACTCAGGATCAGGGCTGAAGACGCAAATACTGGGAACTGAAATCCTCCAGCTGCATTTCCAGAGCTGTGGCTTTATGTCTGTGAATAAAGGAAATCATTATTACACACACAATCTAACTAAATTATTAAAGTAATTACACGCTGTTTCCTCACAGTATAGTTACTTTTTTTATCCAATCATATAAAGACAGCCAAGATGCATAACACTCCCCACCTGGTACTGTGCTCAGTTTGACACTAATATATTTTCATTTATTATTATCTGTTTTGGTCTCCCATCCAAATGGTGCCAAGACAGCATTTTTAGCCAAAAA